ATTGGTCTAGTTAGTTTAAAATTACTTTAAAACCCCCATTAAAAATTTTCCCCTAGGCCAGTCCTGCAAGCTGGAATAACCATGTCTTAAGGGCGCGGCGGAAGGAAGGGAGATCAGGGATCACCCTGATCTCTGGGGGTAGTTCATTCCAGAGGGTGGGAGCTCCCACAGAGAAGGCCCTCCCCCTTGGGGTCGCCAGTCGGCACTATCTGGCCGACGGCACCCTGAGGAGACCCACCCTGTGGGAGCGTACAGGCCGATGGGAGGTAATCTGCGGCAGAAGGCGGTCTCGAAGATATCCCGGTCCGATGCCATGGAGCGCCTTAAAGATGATGGTCAGCACCTTGAAGCGCACCTGGAAGGCCACCGGCAGCCAATGCAGCTCGCGCAGCAGCGGTGTTACATGGGAGCGACGAGTCCCTCCCAACACCGCCCGCGCAGCCGCATTTTGGACTAGCTGGAGCCTCCGGGTGCTCCTCAAGGGAAGCCCCATGTAGAGAGCGTTACAGTAGTCCAGGCGGGAGGTGACCAGGGCATGAGTGACTGTGCGCAAGGCGTCCCAGTCCAGAAAAGGTCGCAACTGGTGGATCAGGCGTACCTGATAAAAAGCCCCCCTGGTCACGGCCGCCAACTGGCATCATCCCCGTGTCGGGCGTGCAGTATCTGGGATCCCTGCCAAGGATGCGAGCTAGCAATCAGCATCCACCGCGTTCGCACAACCCATGTACCCGATTGGCGATTTAACGCTTTGTTAAAACAAGAGTTTGAATACGCTGAACCCCCCCCTCCCCAAAAGGACGAACCTCAGTACGGCACCATACTTTGGGCTGGTTTGTGCACATGCAACCACAGCATTAATGATCTTTATCCGACTTGTTGTGTGAATGCGACCGTGATGTAATTCTTGCTCACTTGGCAGAAACTCATTCAGATTTGGTCTCCTTCTTGGGCAGGGGTGTCAAACTGCCAGCCTGTGGGCTGGATGCTTCATAGCGAAACCGCACCCACCCCATTGCCGGCAATGGAAAAAAAGTCACAATACTTCGTGTCACGTCATGTAACATTGCGAGTTTGACACCCCTGTTTTGGGGGCTGGGTGAAAATGTAAACCTCCTGGCTACATTTCTCCACCCCACCCCTCCCACTAAGTAATACATTACATTTTCTCTCCTCTTTTCTCCTTTCTTTGTTAAGGGTAGCTCCCTCTTTAGTGACAGATTTTATCTTCCTGGGCTCCAAGATTACCACAGATGGGGACTGCAGCCAAGAAATTAAAAGACGCTTGCTCCTGGGGAAGAAAGCTATGGCAAATCTAGACAGCATACTAAAAAGCAGAGACGTTACCCTGCCAACAAAAGTGCATATAGTCAAGGCCATGGTTTTCCCAGTTGCAATGTATGACTGTGAAAGTTGGACCATAAGAAAGGCTGAGCGCCAAAGAATTGAGGCCTTTGAACTATGGTGACGGAGAAGACTCCTGCGAGTCCCCTGGACTGCAAGGCGATCAAACCGGTCAGTCCTAGAGGAGATCAACCCTGACTGCTCTTTAGAAGGCCAGATCCTGAAGTTGAAACTCAAGTACTTTGGCCACCTAATGAGAAGGAAGGACTCACTGGAGAAGAGCCTAATGCTGGGAAAGATTGAGGGCAATAGAAGAATGGGACGACAAAGAATGAGGTGGCTGGATGGAGTCACTGAAGCAGTAGGCGTGAGCTTAAATGGACTCCAGAAGATGGTAGAGGACAGGAAGGCCTGGAGGAACGTTGTCCATGCGGTCGCGATGGGTCGGACATGACTTTGCAACTAACAACAACAAAGCTCCCTTTTTTCTGGCAGTTTTTTTTTTTTTTTGCCTTCGAAAAGTGTTGATTCCTGACAACCTATCCAGGGGTAGGCAACATTGGCTCCTTTATGACTTTATGGACTTTGTTGGAATATTCATGAGCAGGAAGAGTCATGTGGTAACTCAGTCAGCCAATGTGAAGAAAGTGCTACTGAGTCTGTGCAAAAGGTTTGAGTTAGAAGCTGGGTTTCAGTCTCAGGTCTCAGGTCTGTCTCTGCTGTAAGAAGTCTACATTGTGCTATGTTGCTGTAAATAAGAATGTATGGTATTGTAAATATTTTTATATGAATATAAAGAAGTTTATTTGATTCAGCTAAATGCAGTCAACTGTGAGAGCTTCTGATTTATTTTCACCAATAGAGAAATTAAAATTCTCTAACAGACTTCAACTCCCAGAATTCCTGAGCCAGCCATGCTGAGGAGAAAGGGAGAGGTTTCCAAGCTGAGCCATGCTGGCTCAGGAATTCTGGGAGTTGAAGTCCACAAGTCATAAAAGAGCCAAGGTTGCCTACCCCTGTCCTAGCAGGTGCCTTAACCTCTACATCAAATGGTTCTCAGCAATTCTTTGGATCCTAATAAAGATCCTGTCTAACTGGGAACTGTGGTGGGGGCAGGGATGTCCTTGAAGTGTGGTCAAAAGAATCAAAATGGCGGCCTTGCCTTTCGAAACTTTGCCTTTTTTCAACAGAGGCTTTTCCATCTTCAAAGCCGATTAGCTTTTGATTTTTAAAGGCATCCCGTCTAACTCTCCTGTTGATGCAGGAAGGCAAGAGTGTCTCTGAGCGGCTACAGAGGGCATAGAAATTCCTTACAGAGGACTCAACCTGGAAAGGAGGAAGAACAGAAGGAACGTGTGAACCGAGGCAGTAGCCAGTGTGTGCAAATAAGAGGGCGCAGAAAGTGGGCCAAGATCTGGGCATGTGTGTTTGCACGGAACAAGACACTAGGCAGGGGTAAGGCAACCTTGGCTCTTTTATGACTTGTGGACTTCAACTCCCAGAATATCCCAGAATTCCTGAGCCAGTGCTGGCTTAGGAATTTTGGGAGCTGAAGAGTCATAAAAGAGCCAAGGTTGCCTACCCAGATAGATTGTGGTCTATAGAAAAAGGGGGATTCCTTCCTTGAGTGTCATCACTAGAATACAGACAACCGAACGGTCCAATAAACTGGCCCGAAGAAATCCCCAAAGAATTTATTGCTTCCATGTTGATTTAATAATCTATCAATGGACGGATATCTGCTCTCCAGCTCTTTCCTTTCCTCGCATTTGCGACGTCCTTCCTCAAGTCTTCCCCACCCCGCTTCCTCTCCCTCTCCCACCCTGCCTCTCCCCATTTTTCCTCGACCGCATTCCCGCATCGCTTTCACTTTTTGCCCAACTTAATTTTTTTTAAGCGGGACGAAGCTACACCGGTGGAGCAACCGCCTGCCCGGAGCCAGACTTCCCTGGAAGTCGCCCAACATCTCCCCGCCTCTCTCCGCCCGCGTCTGCCCGGGTTTGTTTTCTCCGACATTTTTACTTTCACTTTCGGCTTCCGAGAAAGCAGCTGCTTGTAGCGAAGCGCCGCGGCCGGGGTGGTTTCCAGAGCCCGGCCGGGCCGGGAGATGTGCCAAGACTCGCCTTCCGGCCCCCGCCGCCCGCGCCCTCCGTTCAGTTTGAGCCGGCTGCCGTCCGCGGAGGAGCTCTCTTAAATCCCTTTCTCGAGTCGCTCGCGCGGCACCTGCTTTCTCCCACCGGCTCCGCGCCGCGGCTCTGCGAACCGGGAAGCGCCGGGCGGCGGCTGGACTCCGCGAGAGAAGCGCCTCCAAGGGCCCGTAAGTCGGTTCTTAGCAAAGACCGCCCCTCCTTCCTTCCGCTTCGCTCCTCTCTCTCTCTCTCTCTCTCTCCGTTGCTCTCATTTTTTTTCTTTCCTTCCCTTTCTCGCCAGGGCTTCTTCCAGCACCGAGGCGCTGCTCGAGCGAATTTGCGGCAAGTTCCTTGGCCCGTCTAGAACCGGCGCGATGAAGCCGGGCATGTGGTCCTGGGTCGCCCTAGGGATGCTGCTGGATTTCCTGGCCCTCCACATGGCTTGGAGGTGGAGGCCCTCGCCCTCGGGGAACCCCCTGGCTTTCTTGTGGGCCGTCGCCGTGGGGCGCTGCGTGTCGCTCGCCCTCGCGGGGGGCACCCTCGCCCGCTCCGGAGAGGCCAAGCTTCCCTGGAAGCTGTTGCTGCAAGGCGCCTTGGTCCTCTCCTTCCAGATGCCCGGCTACGTTAGCCTGCAGTACCTCTACCAGCCGGAAGGGGGCGCCCTGGAGCTGGCCTACAGCTGGGGCAGGAGCGAGGTCCTTGCCCTCAACTACCTGGGGTTGGGGTTGGGGATGCTGCTGTTCCATCTCCTCCTCCCTTCGGGGGCCACAGGAACGGAAAAGAGGACTTCGGCCTCCTTTGGGCGCCTCATCGCCTGCCTGAGGCCAGAGGTGCTGCGGTTTGTGGCCATAACGGGGCTTATGGTGATCTCCTGCATGGGTAAGTTGGACCTGTGGAGGGGGCCGATGTGATCCTTCCCCTCACCCTCACAATCAACATAGAGTTTCAACAATACCTCTTATGTAGAGAGTCCTTGAATTACAGCAGGGGTAGGCAACCTTGGCTCTTTTATGACTCGTGGACTTCAACTCCCAGAATGCCTGAGCCAGCCAACGTTGGCTGGCTCAGGAATTCTGGGAGTTGAAGTCCACGAGTCATAAAAGAGCCAAGGTTGCCTACCCCTGGGTTACACCTATTCATTTGGCGAACATTTGAAGTTGCAAATAGCACTGAAAAAAGTGACTTAGCAGCCGGTCCTCGCACTTGCGACCGTCGCGACACCCCCTATAGTCACAAAGTCAAAATTGGGGTGCTTGTCAACCAGTGCCTGTGGGTGCTTGTGGGTGCTTCATCACTAGAAGTTTTTAAGAAGAGACTGGGCAGCCACGTCTGAAATGGTATAGAGCAGGGGTAGGCAACCTTGGCTCTTTTATGACTCGTGGACTTCAACTCCCAGAATTCCTGAGCCAGCCATGCTGAGGGGAAAGGGAGAGGTTTCCAAGCTGAGTCATGCTGGCTCAGGAATTCTGGGAGTTGAAGTCCACGAGTCATAAAAGAGCCAGGGTTACCTACCCCTGGTATAGGGTCTCCTGTTTGAGCAGGGGGGCTGGACAAGGACCTCCAAGGTCCCTTCCAGCTCTGTGCTGATTGTGATTCTGATTGTGATTCAGTCTGTATTAACAGTGATTGAAGCATCCTGGGGTCATTTGATCATTTATAACCTTCCCAGCCAGCAAAGTCAATAGCAGAAAGTCAAAGTCAATAGCAGAAGCAGGCCAGTAAAATCTGGTGTGACTCATTTAACTCATTTAACCACACCTTGCTTAAAAATGAAAATTCTGGTCCCTGTTGTGCTTGTAAGTCAAGGACTACCTGTGTTAAGAATTTGTTGCAGGAAGAGTCAAAAAAAGTCAAAATGGCGGCAAGCAATATATGATCAGAGTCTTGCCCTCTCCTTATTTATTTATTTCTTTTTAAGAAAATTTTATTGATTTTCTGGTTTTACATTTAAATATTTAAAAAGCAACGTGGCAGATGGGTTAATTGATAATTGATAATTCAATTACAAGTATCTTTAGTACAGATCTCAAACTATTACATTAAATATTTCCTCTCTTTTCCCCTTAGTATTTACTGTCTCATGTTTAAACTAATACAATTCTTATTATATTGATTAAATAAAAATAACTTTCTTTTATCAATATTTTTAGTTTATACATATCCTAGTTATTTTAACATTCATTCTTTATAGACAATATCCTAATTAGTTTTTCCCGATTTTTAGTTTCCCATTTATATTTAAATTTAACATTTAGTATTTATAATTTCCAAGTTTTAAATAACCCCAATTCCCTTTATCTCCTTTCTTCTGTTGATATTTAGGAATGTCTAAGAGTTGTGGGAAAATTGAAATGGGTTCTTTCAAAAAAGGGGGGGGCAGAGAGTTAATGGAGTCTGAGGTGAAGGTGGAGGTGTCCTATTGTTGTGGCTTTTTAGGCCCTCGTCTTGATTTTTTTCCCCCGTACTATAATGGATTTTGAATTTCTTTCATTTTTATTTTGGTTGCCTAGGGCAGAGGTCCCCAACCTTTTGGGCACCAGGGACCAGTTATGTGGAGAGAGTTTTTCCCGTGGACCGGAGGGGGTGTGATTTTGTGTGCTGCCTGCATCCTGCGGATGGGGCTTTGCTTGTTTGTGTTGGCCCAGTTGCTGGCATGCCGCGGCCCAATACCGGTCCATAGACCGGGGGTGGGGGACCCCCCGGCCTAGGGACATGAGCAGCCATATAAACGTGGCTTCATAAATAAGTAAATAAAATTTAGAAGTGGGATTTGGGAGAGAAAAGAAACAGCAAATTCCTACAGTCCTACTCGGAAGTAGCAAGCATATAAAAATTATTGCCCTGGCTCTCGGCAGAAATATCTCATCAAAATGAGAAAAACATTGATGCCTCGTTGCAGCCCAAGCCCTGCCCCTTTCGCTCATGCACGTGATGTCATCGTGCACCTACTTCCGTTGTGATAATGCAATGTTACTTTTAGGCCTTGCTTAACAACTGGCCACTTAATAACAGAATAACAGAGTTGGAAGAGGCCGTGGAGATCTTCTAATCCAGGGATCCCCAACCCCCGGTCCATGGACCAGTACCGGGCCATGGCATCCCAGAAACCGGGCCGCACAAAGAAGTGAAGCCCCACCGGCGGGATGCAGGCAGCATACAAAACCATGCTCCCTCCTGTCTTCAGAAAAACCTCTTTCCACCAACACGTCCCTGGTGCCCAAAAGGTTGAGGGGGGGCACTGTATCTAGTCCAACCCCCTGTTCAAGCAGGACACCCTATACCAGGGTGTCAAACTGCTGCCCCGCAGGCTGGTTGCATCATACGGAGGCCACGCCCATCTCAGCTCCGACAATGCAAAAAAGTCACAATATTTCGTGACACGTCACGTGATGCGGTGAGTTTGACACCCGTGCCCTATGCCATTTCAGACAAATGGTGGTCCAATCTCTTCTTTAAAAACTCCAGTGTTGGAGCACCCACAACTTCTGGAGGCAAGTTGTTCATGACTGTTTGAAGTTATGACAGGCTCCCCCCAAATTATTCACAACCCATCCTGGAAAGTTACGATTGCCACCCGCGCACATGTGCACAGCCACACGACCGCATTTCAAGCGGTTGGCAACAAGCTTGCATTTACCTTGTTTCCCCGAAAATGACCCAAACAGAAAATAAGCCCTAGCATGATTTTTCAGGATGCTCGTAATATAAGTCCCACCCCCAAAATAAACCCCAGTTAAGATCGTCAGCCAGATGGACGCATTTAGTACCATATTTCCCTGAATATAAACCCTAACCGGAAAATAAGCCCTAATGCGTCTTTTGGAGCAAAAATTAATATAAGACCCAGACTTATTTGCGGGGAAACATGGGTACAACTGAATGCAGCATCCCATAGTCACATGTTTGTCATTTGCTATGTATTTTGCAGTTTGGGGGCAAAAAAACCTCCCATTACATATGCTAGATTTCTACAACCACACGGTTCATTTAATAACCACACGATTCACTTAATCATCATCATCAAAAATTGTCATGAAATCGAGAGGTCACATGATGACCCATCTAACGATCATGACTCGTGACCAAAATTCCTGGCTGAATTGTAGCGGTAAGTTTAGTATTTAATTCCTCCCCTCCGCTCTGTTTATCCTACGTGGGGATTTCCGAACATATGGAGGCAACTGTTCCCGGAATCCATAGCTGTTTACTTGTTTATTTTATGGAGGACTTTAATCCAAAGCTCCAATAAAAAACAGCCAGAGAGAGTCGTGGCTGCGGAACTGGTTCCTACAATCGTGCAAAGTTAAGATAAAGATAATAGAAAATCGTTTTTCTCTTTTTGCACTATGGAACGTGGGAATCCACAAAAACACGCCGTGATGGTGTGATCATTTTTTTTTACTTTTTTAAAACCACATTTTACATACATCCCTGCGCATAAAGGTAGTCCTTGACTTACGACCACAATTGAGTCCAAAATTTCTGTTGTTAAGTGAGACATTTGTTAAGTGAGTTTTGCCTCCTTTTACGACATTTCTTGCAGTTGTTAAGTTAGAAACCAGGTTGTTAAAATGAATCTTGTTTCCCCATTGACTTTGCTGGTTAGAAGGCTGCAAAAGGGGATCAAGGAGGACCGTGGGGGTGCTGTCAAAGCTGTAACTAAAAAATGGTTCGTAAATCAGGGTTTTTTTTAGTGCTGTTGTAACTTTGAACGGGTCACTAAGTGAACCCTTGCAAATCGAGGAACCGTCCGTATATGCACAAACTTGAAATAATGGTATTCGAAAGATAGCTTTTGTTGTGTCGAATGGGGGAAATGGTGCTTTTTTAGGCGTAGCAAAACCAAAAATTCTTTTTTTAAAGTTTTATTGATTTTCTAATTTTACATTTAAGTAGTAATAGTAATAGTAGTAGTAGTAGTAGTAGTAATAATAATAATAATAATAGGCGCCTTGGGTGCAATCCCAAAACAACTGGGGCACCACTTGAACACCATTGGCATTGACAAATTCACCATTAGTCAATTGCAAAAGTCGGCCTTACTAGGAACTGCTTCCATCCTGCGACAATATCTGTAATACCATCAAACATCCACGTCTGCCTATCCCAGGTCCTGGGTAAGGACTCAATAGGTAGCCCAAAATGCCAAATCCAGTCTGAACATCTGGCTGACTGTGCGATGATAATAGTAATAATAATAATAATAATAATAATAATAATAATAATAATAATAATAATAATAATAATAATAATAATAATAATAATAATAAGTGGGAAGGGACCTTGGAGGTCATCTGGTCCAACCCCCTGCTCAAGCAGGAAACCCTATACCATTTCAGACAAATGACTGTCCCGTCTCTTCTTAAAAACTTCCAGTGTTGGAACATTCACCGCTTCTGGAGGCAGGTTGTTCCACTGATTAATTGTTCTAACTGTCAGGAAGTTTCTCCTTAGTTCTAAGTTGCTTCTCTCCTTGATCAGTTTCCATCCGTTGCTTCTTGTCCTGCCTTCAGGTGTTTTGGAGAAGAGCTTCACTCCATCGATAATACAATAACATACAAGTATCTTTAGTGCAACTCTCAAGCTGTTACATTAAATTTTTCCTCTCTTTTCCCCTTAGTATTTACTGTCTCCTATTTAAACTAATACAATTCTGATTAAGTCGATTAGATAAAAATGACATTCTTACATTTATCAATAATTTTTGGCTTATACATATCCTTATTATTTTAACATTCAGTCTTTATAGACAATCAGTGTCCTAATTAGTTTTCCCCAGTTTTTAATTTCCCGCTAATATTTAACTTAACATTTAATATTTCTAGTTTCCAAGTTTTAAGTAACCAAAATTCCCATTATCACAATACATCACAAAATCTAATATTCAGAATACACATCTTATCTATTTGAACATACTGTATTCTATTTCTCACCATCTTACCTCAGCTAATTAATAATACGATATAACATTCTTATTTTCTATTAATTTCCAAACGTCTTGAATTGAGTAAGCAAATTACTCTCCCTTCAGCATCAAATTCTTCCTCTCTTTTTCTCTTAATATCTATTATCTCATGTTTAAGCTAATGCAGTTTTTATTATATCAGCTAAGTAAAAACCTGTTTATTATATTTATCGATATATTTTTAGCTTAAGTATATCTTCATTAGCTTTACATTTAACCTTTATAAACAAATCGATATTCGAATTTAACTTTTAATATTCATACTTCCAAATTTCAAAATAAGTTTTCTTTATCTCCAGTTCATAACGAAATCTAGTGTTCAAAGTACCTATGGAAAATTAGAACACACGGCAGAAATCACTCAAGGACACTTCTAACGGGTGTCCTTTTGTCGCTGACTTGCAATCTTGTATGTTTGTAACGTGCCCTTTGCTATTTCTGACCTCATTCTCATTCGAGAATAGACTCAGGAAAAATGCTGGGGCATGCTTGTATAGACAGGCCTCGTTTCCACATTCCAAGGCACGGATGGTTGAAACGCAGCCAGAAACTTTGGGAACAGTAAAAGCAATTTGCTAAAATGGCTCTTGCGGAAAACGAGGACTTTATGAAGAATAATCCGGGTTTTGTAAAGCAAAAGAACTTTCCTACCGGGTGACTTCACTTCAGTGCTTCTCTTCTCCGCTTTCTTTCAGAAAAGCCGTTTTAGTCAGCTGCCCTCACAGCGTCTTGTTTTAATTTTTCTGTTACTCCTCATTTCCTCCGAATTTGTCAATTCAAAAATGGACAGATGTCCTCTAATTGCGGGCATTTTTCCTGTATCGCATTACTTCTGAACGGTTTGCACAGAGTTGAGTTATTTCCGATTTCCTTTTTATTTTCAACTGGAGTTTTGGGAATGTCATTTTGGATGTCTCTAGGCCAGGCCTCCAATTTTTTTTAAAAAAAAATTTCTTTCAAAGTAACAATTGTAAGCATCCACGGGGGGAGGGGGGGAATGGGATTTTTAACCGGGATTTATTTCTGCTTTTGTTGGGAAAAAGAAAAGAAATGGGATTTTAGTTTGAGCAAAATAAATTAATTAAAAATAGCAGTAAAAATGTCCAAGTATCCATATCAGGCTGGCAGGAATTTACTTACGTGGTGCGCATTTCAAAAAAGTATTTTTAAAATGCTTTGAAGCTCATAATGTGAGATGAAGCTAGCAGAATTTTGTTATTAATTAAAGCAGCCTGTTACTTTTGACCCTGTTACTGCATAACACTGAACGCCATAGTATAGTTGTTTTCAGCAGTCCACACAATTCATTCCTTAGTCTTTGCTTAATATTGTCTTCATTTGGGATTGCTGGTTTTTTTTTAATACTGTGTGGGTTGTTTATTCCGTTTAAGGGAATCAATAATATATATATCTCTCTTCCCCGCCCCTCTCTTAAACTGAGAATCACTGGTCTACAGGTTCCTGAATCTACTACCCTCCCCTTCTCTAAAACCCCTCTTTCTTTCTTTCTTTCTTTCTTTCTTTCTTTCTTTCTTTCTTTCTTTCTTTCTTTCTTTCTTTCTTTCTTTCTTTCCTTCCTTCCTTCCTTCCTTCCTTCCTTCCTTCCTTCCTTCCTTTTTTCTTTCTTTCTTCCTCCCAACTTTCTTTTCTTCCTCCCTCCCTCCCTCCCTCCCTCCCTCCCTCCCTCTCTCTCTCTCTCTCTCTCTCTCTGTGTGTGTCTGTCTCTGTCTCTCTTTGTCTCTCTCTGTGTGTCTCTCTTCTCTCTCTCTCTTCTCTCTCTCTCTCACACACATATACACAATCACTCAATCTCTCTCAATCTCTGTCTTTCAGGGGAGATGGCAGTTCCATATTATACCGGGAAAGTGACGGACTTGCTCATAAGCAAGAAAGGAGCCTCGGCCTTCAAGGATGCTCTTTACATGATGACTTTTTTCACTCTGGCCAGGTATAATTTGTTGGGTTTTTTTTCAATGCAAATTTGCACCAAACTATTTCTGCCCATTTCTAACCAGTGCGCAAATCAACCTGTGGTACGGTTGGAATCAGCAAATTTTGCAATGCATTTTAGTCACAATAGCAGGGAAAAGTTGGATCACAAACGAGTACATTTGGAAATGCTTCGTGTGTGTGTGTGCGTGTGTGCGTGCGTGCGTGCGTGCGTGCGTGTGTGTGTCTAGAGAGAGAGAAAAAAATGGGAACAGTTTATCAATGGGCTACCCCATTAGACCAGGCAGAGAAGGCATACTATGGATACCGTCTTCCAGGGACTTAATGCTTTATTTATTTAATTTAGTTATTAAATTTATATGCTGCCCATCTCGCTATTTAAAGTGACTCTGGATGCCTTACAATGCCGATGAACAATGTCCACCAGACAACCGGACTTCAGCTTCCTGAATTCTGCAGTCAGCAAGGTGGCAGGGAAATTCTGGGACTGGAAGTTCACCCGTCTTAAAGTTGCTGAGTTTGAGAAACACAGCTCTAAATTTCGTTTCTAAGGAGGCTCCAATCCCTTCTACTGATCGTGGGCATCTTATAACACAACATCCTTTGTTATACCCATAAATCGACTCCTTTCACCCAAAGGACAGCAATTGGCTTTGTGTGATCTGTCTCCTTCCCCTCCAGGGTAATTAGGCAGTTTCAGCTTGGCTCCTTCTGCTGTGTAAATTCAAAATTCATCGCAGTGATTATTATCTCAGGGTAAATATTATTTGCCCGCCTCCACATTGTATATTGAGAGAGATTTGAATTCGCGAGCTAATTGGAGCAGATTGGACTTATATTGGTCTGATATACATAACTGAATGAAAGCTCTAATGTAGTTTTGCGTTTTGAGTCCTGGGTTTAAAATGAAGACAGCTTTTTTCACCCTTTATATATAATACTTGAGTATTATTTGAAGTTTAGTCAAGGCCATGGTTTTCCCAGTTGCAATGTATGGCTGTGAAAGTTGGACCATAAGAAAGGCTGAGCGCCAAAGAAGTGAAGACTTTGAACTATGGTGCTGGAGAAGACTCCTGCGAGTCCCCTGGACTGCAAGGCGATCAAATCGGTCAGTCCTAGAGGAGATCAACCCTGACTGCTCTTTAGAAGGCCAGATCCTGAAGTTGAAACTCAAGTACTTTGGCCACCTAATGAGAAGGAAGGACTCACTGGAGAAGAGTCTAATGCTGGGAAAGATTGAAGGCAATAGAAGAAGGGGACGACAGATAATGAGGTGGCTGGATGGAGTCACCGAAGCAGTAGGAGTGAACTTATATGGACTCCAGAAGATGGTAGAAGACAGGAAGGCCTAGAGGAATGTTGTCCATGGGGTCGCGATGGGTTGGACATGACTTCACAACTAACAATAACAACAACAATTGTTTAAAGTTAGTAAAATATCCAAACTAGAGAAAGTATTTTCTCCCTTTAGGGTTAAAAAAAAATGAAATAATAGCAGATTCTCTTCATATGAATTATGATAAAGATGAATGAGTTAACAGAAGCATATATTATTCTCCACAGCAAAGAGAAGCAGAGATGGTCAAATTGATTCTTTTATCCAAGGAAGAGAATATATCTAACCCTGTTTCTATTTTGAAATTGCTTCCGGATTTTGCGCTTGGAATTTAAAAAAAATACATGAAACTTTGATTTTGTTTTTCCTAATGAGATAGGTTTATTTTTATAGAAGTGGCTTGTACAGGCTGTTGTATAAAAATAAAAAAGTTGCGGTTGTAACGTTGCTATCTTCTCCTGTGCTAAAGAGAGTCGGACGTTGGTGCCTTTTTCTCGTCTTTTCCCTCTTTACACCATTTTTTTCCTTCTCCTCCTCCTAGTTTTCTATTATTTTTTTGAATTTCTCTTTGTATTTTATATTTTGATGAACCAATAAAACCACGACAGATTAAAAGAACATTTATCCTGAGGTAACGATCCCTGTGATAAATTTTGAATTTTGCGAAGTTTTGCAAAAAAACGGTGACCCTGGGATTGCCAAAAAAAAAAAAAAAGGGAAACCAAGGCTGTCGGTCTCTTGACCGCAGCAGGGGATGAAATGTGTAATGGGGAGGGGGGGAGATAGGGGAAAAGAGGTGAAAGGTGAAGCAGGTAGGAGAAAAGAATGGAGAGAGCTAAAGATGGAGTCATGATAGGTAACGGTTTTTCTGATTCCTCTCAGTGCTACAACAGAGTTTCTCTGCGACTTCCTGTACAATACGGTTATGAACCGATTTCACACCCGCTTCCAGGGCTCCGTCTTCCGGTCTGTCCTGCGCCAGGAGATCGGCTTTTTCAGCACTAACCGAACAGGTAGAGAATCCGCAATTCCCTTCATTGTTTCTCTACTTAGGACAGGGGTTGGCAACCTTGGCTCTTTTATGACTCGTGGACTTCAACGCCCAGAATTCCTAAGCCAGCTAGGCAACCTTGGCTCTTTTATGACTCGTGGACTTCAACTCCCAGAATTCTGGGAGTTGACGTCCACGAGTCATAAAAGAGCCAAGGTTGCCAACCCCTGACTTAGGAGCTGCCTTTCTGGTCCAACACTCCCCAGGCTGCAAGCCAAAAATACAGGAATAAAAATGCTATCCCCTGTAACACTTCAGTAAATAATTTAAAGATACTGTGTGTTATGATAAAGTTCAGCTGCTCTAGCTGTGAGTCAGGGCATAGATCTCTTTCAAAAGCAATTTGGAAGAAAAGGATTTTGCACATGTAACCGCTTTGAAGAATATCAGAAGCTGCTTTGTATCCCTTTTTTTCCATTTTTTAAAAAAACTTTTTATTTCTTTCCTTGCCTTTTTGCTTTCCCTTTGCTTTCTTTTTCTTTTTTTCTCCTCTATTAGTTTGTATAAGTTTTTGTCTTCCTTTTTAAGCTTTAGTAGTAACATATTTTTAAAAGTACATTTTAAAAATCCTTTTAAAAACGATACTCAGTGTTATACAGATCTTGCACGAAGGGGAATTAGGGAAAAAATTACTCCTCCCACTTCTACTACAGAGAGAACTGTATAAACTGCTTCCACTACCTGATTAATTAAAGTCTGAGCACTTGCAAGAAAAAAAGAAGGAGAGAGAGACGGAGAGGCAAACAGAGAGAGAGAGAGAGAGAGAGAAGAAAGAGAAAGAAAGAGAGAGAGAGAGAGAGAGAGAGAGAGAAAGAAAGAAAGAAAGAAAGAAAGAAAGAAAGAGAAGAAAGAAAGAGGGAGGGAGGGAGGGAGAAGAAAGAAAAAGAAAAAGAAAGAATGAAAGGAAGGAAGGAAGAAGAGGGAGGGAGGAAAGAAGGAAGAAAAAGAAAAAAGGGAGGGAGAGAGGGAGGAAGAAAAAGAAAAAAGGAGGGAGGGAGTACAAAAAGAGAAAGAAAAGAGAAAGAAAGGGAAGAAAGAAAGGGAGGAAGAAAAGAAAGTTGGGAGAAAGAAAGAAGAAAGAAAAAAAGGAAGGAAGGAAGGAAGGATTTAGAGAAGGGGAGGGTAGTAGATTCAGGAAACTGTCACATCTGGAAGTCTGTTCTAGGCCTTGGAGGCCTAAAGGAGGCCTCCTAGGCCTAGAACAGCCCACAGGAAGTGCGTTGATGTCACTTCCAGAAGCCCGTTCTAGGCCTCTGAGGCCCAGGCCTGCATTCATGCAGAGAACCGGATGTTAATGTATTTGAATCCCACCACTGGTCGAGTGATCTCTCCATCCTCAAAGTTGGTTCAGAAGACGGGGCGGTCAGTCCCACAGATGGATACCAAAAGAACAGGGGAGGCAAAGGCCGCAGCTAGTGCGGGCCTCCCCCAATTGACATCTTTTCCGATGGGCTTGTCCTGCTTGGCCTTCTCCTCAGGTGACATCACTTCCCACATCTCGTCCGGCATCGATGCCATGAGCGAAGCCCTCTCGAACGATCTCAGCCTTTTGATGTGGTACCTGCTCCGAGGCGTCTGCTACTACGCCATGATGCTATGGATCTCTGTGCCTTTGACTTTCTTTGTCACCGTAGCCCTGCTCTTCATCCTGCTGTTGCCGAAGCTCACAGGGAGCTACTACCAGGTGACCAAAGGGTGGGATGGTTCAAAGGTCCCTTCCAGCCCCGCTCGAGGGGTACTGTGGGGGAGAGGCCCAAGGGCCATTTCCCCAGAGGCCACTGAGGAGAAATATTGCTTATTTCTTTTCTTTTTTTAAAAAAAAATCTATTTTGTTGATTTTTTTGGAATAACAATCTTTAGTACTTAGTAAACAACTTGTTGTCTATATTTAACAACAAGCAATAATAATTAATTTCTTATGATTTCATAATCAACATACTAATTAGGAATACATTTCCTCGATCTTCTCTTGTTCCAATAGCGTTCTGCTAATAATAATAATAATTAATAATAATAATAATAATAAAGTTGGAAGGGACCTTGGAGGTCATCTAGTCCAACCCCCTGCTCAGGCAGGAAACCCCATACCATTTCAGACAAATGGCCGTCCAGTCTCTTCTTAACAACTTCCAGTGTTGGAGCATTCACTGCTTCTGGAGGCAGGTTGTTCCACTGGTTAATTGTTCTAACTGTCAGGAAGTTTCTCCTTAGTTCTAGGTTGCTTCTCTCCTTGATTAGTTTCCATCCGTTGCTTCTTGTCCTGCCTTCAGGCGCCTTGGAAAATAGCTTGACTCCCTCTTCTTTGTGGCAGCCCCTGAGATACTGGAACACTGCTATCATGTCCCCCC